GAATGTGTTTATTATTAGTCATGTCTTCCTCTGAACCAGGCTGTTAGATAGACAGGAAGTTTGCATGACCCATCCTGTGGACAGGGCACTACCCCTCAAAGTCAAGTTGCTTCTTATCCCTTCACCTCCATTCCTAAAGAGAAAAATTGGTGGGGTGAGGGTAGATTGCAGTAATTTACTTTATAATTGGTGTAGGCAGATGACCCAGGTGGAATGCAAATTGTCTTAACCAAAAGTATTCGGCCCCTGTTGATAAAGTTTAGATTTGTACTTCTTGGCACTTGGACAGAGAATTATATGCTGGGGAGAGTGAATTAAAGAGAGCTGTCACGTCATTAATGTCAGGTGTAGGGAGAATGGAAGAGATCAGCCTGTCCCGCTGATGTCTTTCCAATCTCTTCTGTTAGGTTTGTCAGCTGCTGCTGGGATCGGGGTGGATGACCTTCGTCGCTTATGCATCCTCAGGATGAGCTTTGTGAAAGGCTGGGGATCAGATCACCCAATTCTGAGCATCGAGGAGACACCTTGCTGGATTGAGACTCACTTACACCGGGCCTTACAGCACCTGGATGAAATACTTCAGGCCATGCCTGCCCTCCGCTTAGAATGTTTACACTGAAACTTTTACTGTTGGAGCCCTTAACATTCATTGTCAGGATGGTGGACTGTAACATACAATCCTGTTTATAATCTGAAGATATATATCACTTTCGTTCTGCTTTATCTTTTCATAAAGGGTTGAACACATGTTTTGCTGCCTTGCTCCTAGCAGACAGAAACTGGATTAACCCCCCCTCCCCCCGCCCCCATTTAGAACTTTTCAGGCATGGCTCAGAACTTGAAGGTCAGGAAAAACACATTCTTATTAAATTTACTGCACCAGTTATGTATGAAGGAATCATTCCAATCCTGGAAAATTTAGCCCTTTAAAATGGCGTAGACATTTTTCTATGCAGAACATTGGTATATGTGCTATTCTAAAGAGTAAACTCAATATTGCTGATTTTAAAGGCAGAGATGTTCTCAAAGTTAATTCACCTGTTGTTTTGTGTGCACGTTGTTATTGTTGAGCAGACTCTACTCCAAAATATTGTGCCATGTGGGTGAGTTAATGTTACCAAGAGCAACTTTACTCTGTGTTTAAAAAATAAGACAGTGATGTATTCTAATCTTTTATCCAAAATATATTTTCTGCAAGTTAAACTAGTGAAGATGATTTCAATTCAGATTGTCTTGCGACTTCCTTTTCTTTTCACCAAGGCAAAACACTAATCTCTGTGAATACTGAGAATTCCTTAAAATTATCAGACAAAGAAATACCATTTACAAGTTCAGTAGTTATCCCAGTTGGATAACGATTTCTTGAGTA